TTTTCTTATTTTTTGATATATTTTTCATACACCACAATTAAAATTCCCGAGCTGCACGTTGGGTGCCAATTAATTCTGTCCTGGTTAGAGGGCAGAATTTTATTCCCCCTCCCTTATCCCTTAGTTTCCCAGGTGGAGAGGTAAACAAAGGAAAGCAGGGACAATGAAAGCTTTGCACCAATTGAAAAGGTAGCAAAATGAAATATATTATTTAACAGGGAACAGAAAGGAAGAAGGGTAGGGGTTTAACAGGGTAAAGGGATTATAGTAACAACAAGGCAAGGAAGGGTAAACTTGCAAAAATACAAAACCCAAACGCTGTGCTGAGGCTCCCTAGTGCTGGATCTGGCTGGACTGAGGTGGATTGAAGCTGGATGCACAATCCTTGGATGTGGATGAGGCAGGGAACGAGTCTGTAGGTCAGGCCCAGGTCCCAAGATGGCACCACCATGTGCAGCACAGGGAACCACAAACAGCAGCAGAGCAGCATGTCTCCGGCCAGGACCCCAGCAGAGAGAGAGGAGAAGAGGGAAGGGGGCATATCTTCTCTCCCCCTTTACAGACCCCAACAAGAAGTCATGAAGACAGGAAGAGGGGAGTGGGAATAGAACAGGTCTCTGCCCCTTTCATTCAGGCTTGCTCCTGGTTTTAGATTTCAAATCTCCACCCCCAACAGTGGCAGGAGTTTCAAACTATTACACAGTGCTAAAAATAATTCTGCTTTGGGGCTTACTGAATCCCAATGTGAACAGACGTTGAAATGTACAAATAGCATTAATTGCTTTTGATTCAGTTCTGTTTATACGTCTTTGAAATATCTCCACATTTGTTTCTGAAATTATTTCAAGAGGCCATTATCACAGCCAATAGCAACTGTAAATAACTGTGGTCTGTGTGACCAAAGAGGCGTGATCTAGCATTCTAGTTGACTTGTAGTTATAGTGAACCATGAGATTTTGTGGTGGTTTTTTACAGTTTACAGGCCTACTGTTGTAGGAGATGATATTTTCTGGATTTGGATTGAAAAGTTCTAGTATTTTAGACACTGCTTGAAGATCAACTAGGACAGAAAACTATTCTTCTTAAAAGCTTCCTTTGCATTAACGAGAAGATAATTGCTTTTTCAGAGGGGAAGTGATGGTTCTAGTTTAGGTAGGTAACTTGGGGTAAGCAAAGTCTGAGTAAGCTCAGTTTGGCACGTCCTTATTCTGTGCCCTGCTGCTTTGGCTTCTCAGTTTCTGTAGCACAGAACATGCAGCAGTGGCTGACTTGCAGAGTCTTACAAGAGTTTTGCCTCCAACTATTCTAACACTCATGCAGTTTCAAATACAAGCTTATAGGAATGTCAGAAGTGGCCCTCATAACTTGAACATGATTTTATTTGAATTAGTGGATTTTTTTTACATGAGTAGTGACAGGATGTTGTGCTCAGAACCATCTCCAGAAAGAGGTTGTTGTAGAAATGAGAAGGCAGTGGTTGGGTTAGCTCTCAGTCTAGCTGATGTGGTTTCAGCCTTCATTCAGTGATACAGGCTCTCTGACCTACCTTCATACAGCACCTAAAATTCCTGCAAAAGACTCTGTTTACATTTCCAACATTAATTTCTTATATACATTCAAAGTATTGTAAGCACGTTGAACAAGAAGAAAGACAAAAATATTAAATTAAAACGGGCATCCTATACCCAGGTAATTGCAGATATTTTCAGTATGAGGAAGTAATTAATTTGCCAGAACAGTTATGACCTGACCCTTTGAAAGTGTCAAACAGGAGTTAATTAACATAATGCTTTCAAAGTAAGGTTCAAATGTAGATTCAGGTCAAAGCACTCCTGATCACCCTAACATTACTATTATACCAAAACACTGTTTCATTACAGTGTGATTAAACCTAAACTAATCTGTGTTAAAAATAGGGAAATCTTTGGAAACATGGTGAATTTTGTAAGTTTCCTAAGAGTGGGATGTTACAGTAGCCTTTCTTTTAAAAGTTTACTGGGGAAAGAAAAAGTAATGTAAAAGGAGCATGAGTTTGGATGTTAGTTTTGTTATGTTTGCATAATGGCTGGTCAGAAGGAGCTCTCCTAGCTGTCAAAACCAGTGAAGATATTGATGCTGCTCCTCTGAGTCAGAGATGAACAATCCTTGTGCATTAACCTGTAAAAAGTTTACTTGCCATTAAACTGGAGTTAAAAAAATGGAGTTAAAAATCTGAGATAACAGATTTCATACCAACAGGGTGGTACTTACTTAAAATAGTTGGTTTTGGAAGGGGAACCACAAAACACTTATAAATAGCTGCTCTGATACTGTCTGCTACTAGCTTCATAGGTTTTGTTTGGAAGAAGAGGAAATTTGTGTTACTGGGAAGATTAATTACTGCATCCTTTTTGTTGAAAAGGCTGCTTTTCTTTTTCCTCTCTAAATTTTTTTTTCCAATTATTAAATAAAAATAATAATAATAAAAAAAAGAAATACAACACAATAGTAACAGCAAGGAAGAATGGTAAACAGAGGATAGGTAAACATTAAAAATTATTACATAGTTTAATCTGCTACTAAATGTAAAATCAGGTTAGAAAAAACATCTTGTTACAGTAACTGTTGATGTTGCTTGTAAAAGCATTGAGTTTCTGTGGCATTTCAGTTTTCAGAAACCCTTTTTTTTTCAATACCCTCCAGATTTCATGATGATAATCGTCATCTTTATTTGTCAACCTGTCTCCAAATGTTGTTTTCTTGTTGTGAGTAAATATTGTGTTATGAATATTCTGATGTACTTTGGCCTGCAAAACAATATGGAAGGGTTTAGAAGTCAATATTTAACTCACTTTACCTCACCAAAGTGTCTTTAATAGATACGTAAACTGACTGAGGCAAAAACTTTCTCTTTTTGTTCAAAGAATCTGTCAGTGAATGTATCTTTTAGCAGTTTGTTTCATTCTGTGGTTCTGGAATATGAGATTTTTCTTCTTTCATTTACTAAGGCATCAGTGATTTTTCCACTTATATAGGAGCGTCCAACAGGAAAGAGTCACTTTACTGTTTAATAGTAACTGTTTTATAGTTGAAATACCTTATACTTAAATATTGTTTATGTGAAATTTTTTGTAAGTTATTTATAGAAATAGAAGTCTTAAAATTGAGTTTTAACTTTAGAAGGTTTTAGAAAAGGACAGAATTGTTTTTATGATGGGTACTGTAAGGTATCAGTTCTCTGTTATCAGTGGATCAGTTAGTATGTGCCCACAATTCTGGGTTGTAACTTGTGTAAGCTGTTTCTGAAGTGAACTTGCTGTAAAGTCCATTTACTTGCTATAAAGTTTATTACTAATGCTGGGTTGTTTTTTTTCCCCCCCCCTATTATTTCAGGAAGTGTATTTCAAGAATCTTTCAAGACAGAAGCAAAAGGAAGTAATGGAGAAGAATGGAAACAACCACAAACTTCGTGTTTGTGTTGCTACTTGCAACCGTGCTGATTATTCAAAATTAGCTCCTATTATGTTTGGTATTAAAGCAGAACCACAGTTCTTTGAGCTTGATGTTGTAGTGCTCGGTTCCCACCTGATCGATGATTATGGGTAAGGTGAATTTTTATATCTTTGCTCATCTTCTTTCTGAGGCGTTAGCAGTAACATCATGCATGTTAGGTAACAAAAGTCCTTGTCAGTGTGAATGTAGAGGACAAAATTTTCAATTTATTTTTTCAGATTTTATTTCATTTTGCAGCTCCTTCTGAGATTGCTTTTTTCTGAGGTTTTTCAGCCAATCCTGGAATTTTAGAAAGTTTTGTCTAAATGCTGTAATTGAGATCATCAAGATCACAGACTATATGAAGTGAGAAGCTCAATTCATTCAGATTTCCCTGAGAATCTGGTGACTATTGAATGAAAATGTGCAATTTTTAAATTTTCATAGAGAAAACATAATCGTCATTCATTTTAAATTGCAGCTTCCACGCTGCATAGTTAGGGGAGGAAGTACTTATATATTCCGTATGTTACGTGAAGGGAGAGGGGTAGGTGTGGGTAAGGGAGAGACAAATGCCCTTGCTTTCTAGCCAGTCCTGAACTTGGTGCTGAATTCTTGTTCCATACACTGGGTCCAATAAGGGATGTTATTTATACCTTTTTTTGTTACTGGTGTGCAAAGTGTGGGGATGGGGCTGTGGGCAGACAACTCTTCATTGTAACTGGCACAAAACTCCCTTAGCTGCACCTGCAGGGAGTAGACAACTGCCCTGAGCTGGGTGGGAGAATGGGGTGAGCAGCCTCCACTGCATTCCACATTCCTTTTCAGGGCCTCAAGGACATGGACCACTGAATCTTCACTCAGCCCCATGTCTGCCCTGGCACCAGATGTTTGTTGGCAGTGTCAGGCTTTGTGATTTGTGCTAGTTCTGTGCTTCCTGCATCTGATACCGTATCCCAAGGGAATACTGTTAGTTCTTACTTCCAGGATTGTGGAGGAAAGAAAGGCTGGTTGTCTCTTTCTGACAAAATGAATAACTGAGAGATATATTAGGTATGGTTTGGTGGGAGAGATGAGTGTCTCCTCCATAACACCCTATCATTAAGCAGTCAGATCACCTGCCCGGAAGGATGCCATGTCCTGGCCCAAATCCCTTCCTTTGGAAGGAATTCCCACATCCCAGGTGAATATTTCCCTGTCTGTTGGGGAAGAGGCAGAAGGAACAGCATGCATATTCTTGCTGGGTTTGTGGTTGTTGTTTGGTTGGTTTTGCTCAGGCTTTGTTTATCAGATTGGGCCCAGTAAGTGAAATAGGAAAATGCTCACTTTGCAAGTCAAAATGCAATACTAGCATAAAGCTTGCAGCATATCAGCACTATTGAAATTTTAGTAATGTTACTAAAAGTTTAGGAGTGTATCTTCAAGTAAAGACACTGTTTGGGCTTTCCAACTGGCAGCTATGGCACTTCCTAAATTGGCAGGTGAGGAAATTGCATTATCTCAAACTGCTAAGACAGGAGGTTCCACTGCTGCCCATTCTCAGAACAATGCTCTGTTCCTTGCTTTGTGCTGGATATTGTTTACATCTAATAACACCACAAAACTACTCAGTTTTTAAAAAGACAAACAAGCAAACACAGTCAAAGTTCTTGCCAGGTTAACATGTGGAGTTACATTGTGTCCAGTGGGAGAAATAAGGTAATTCCATTTCATTTGCTGAAGGCCACAAACATGGCCCTGATTTTTCTATAGTCTTGAACCCTTTGCTGTCTGCTAGACTTGTGCAAAGTAATATGTAATATTACTTTTACAAGGTGTTTAGCACCTGTCTCTCTGATACAAATGATTTCCAATGCACAAAGCAATAGAGGTTTTGACTTGACAAATGTTGTGCTCTTGCTTGCTTTGTGGTAACTGTTCTTAAATCCTGGTACTGCTGGAGGGTAGTAAAAGAAGTTTGGAGGATAGTAAAAGAAACAAAACACTGAAAATACGCAGTCTTGTTTGTTCCCTACATTTTGGTCTTTCAGACTGGAAAGAACACAAAAGAAAGAGAGAAAGCTTTTTGAGATAAATGCAGGTAGTAAGAAAAGGTTTAGTGAATGTGGAAGACGGGTACACTTATACGGATGATCTTTGTATTTTGTATCTGATGTAACTGTAAGCAATAACAATGCTCAGTATTCAAGGAACGTTTCAGTTTTCTCACTCTGGAATGAAGCTGGTATTATGTCTGGAAAACCTTTCTTCTGAAGGCGTCTAGAAAAACTTGATGCCTGGAATAGGAGTACCTTCAGATGGTTTAGAACACGCTGTGAAAATCTGAAAAAATAGTTTCCCGATTAAAGGAGATGTCATCAGCAGGCCTCTGTTCAGCCCAGCCCAAATTCTCTAGCATGCAGTTACACTGTCAAGCTGCGTTGCTGTGAAACAAACCAAGCTGTATTTACCCTTTTCCTCTTACCTCCAGCAACACCTACCGTATGATTGAGCAGGATGACTTCGATATTCACACGAGGCTGCACACCATCGTGAGAGGGGAGGACGAGGCCGCCATGGTGGAGTCGGTGGGCCTTGCCTTGGTCAAGCTGCCCGACGTCCTGAACCGCCTGAAGCCCGACATAATGATAGTCCACGGGGACAGATTTGACGCGCTGGCCCTGGCCACCTCCGCCGCCCTGATGAATATCCGCATCCTTCACATTGAAGGTGGGGAAGTCAGTGGGACCATTGATGACTCTATCAGACACGCTATAACCAAACTGGCCCATTACCATGTGTGCTGCACGAGGAGTGCAGAGCAGCATTTGATAGCCATGTGTGAAGACCATGACCGCATCCTTTTAGCAGGCTGCCCCTCATATGACAAGCTTCTCTCTGCCAAAAATAAGGACTACATGAGTATTATACGCATGTGGCTAGGTGAGCAGTCCACTTTTTATGTTTTTTTTTCATACAGCTTTCAACACTAGACAAACTCAGTAGGTTATCAGTCTGTGGGATTTGTTTAGCAGTGGCTCTGAGAAAAGTACAGACTTCTGGCTAGTGAGTTTAGGTGGCTTAACTGGAGGTGATTATCAAGCATCAACCTGCTTCTTAAAAACCATCTCTTTCTGCATTTTCTTTTTCTTTCATTCTGTGTTCTACCGTGTATAGCTGGAAAGCCACAAATCTTTCCTAATAAACACATCTGGTCCTTTTGCCAAATCAAAAAAGTAACTCATTAAATGGATGATTTCTCTGAGCTGAACAATTTAAGAACAAAACAGTCTTATATGAACAGTTATTCTCGTATAAAGGATATGTTTAAATAGAATCAAAGCTGTTTCAGAGCTAATTTGAAAAAAATCAAAGGGAATTCATATTATGAACAATCTTTTGAGGAATGCCCTGCAGCAGGGCAGCAGGCACCAAAGGTTCTTTGGTGTCTCATATTCATTGACTTACAAATAATTCCTGTAAACAATTGGGGTTTGTGTGTGTTTGTTTGTTTGTTTTTTATCTTTGACAAAGCAAACTCTTGTATTACACTTTATACTGTGGAATCCTTTTACATAAAGATGTGAATATTTTGCAGATAATTTTTTTTTTGTCAGCTATATGTACAACAACTATGACTGACTTTTTTAAAGCAATGGGAATGATGTCTTTGCTTGAGGACAGATGACTGACAGAAAACCTGAGCAGCTTCAGGGGTTTCATGTTATTCCAGATATACACTGGTGTGAGAACAGGCTCTTGACTCTGGTGTGGTCTTGCAAAGCCTTAGATGTAGGCCTGCAAGTTAACGCTGTGTTGGAGTTTAGGTGGCGGTCTCTAAAGTTACGAGAGTTGCTTAGAGCAGCAAATAACAAGCTAGATCCTACACTTACTGCCTTGAGGCTTCTTTTAGCATTGAGGTTTGTGTCAGATAGCTCATTCAGTGCTTTGTTCACACTTTGACATCATTAGTTTCAAAAGTATATCCTCATTTCCTTTTACTATTCTCTGCCAACAAAAAAAAAACTTTCCTTGGAATCCATTTGAACAGGTGAAGATGTCAAAACCAGAGATTACATCGTTGCTCTGCAACATCCTGTAACCACAGATATTAAACATTCCATAAAGATGTTTGAACTGACACTAGATGCACTCATCTCCTTCAACAAGAGAACGCTTGTTCTATTCCCTAACGTGGATGCAGGTGAGTAAAATGCCGTCATGACAGAAGGGCACATGACAGATTGTCTTTAAACCATACATTGTTTCTTACAGAGTACTTTTATCCCAGCATCTCCAGCCAGATAGAAATAACTGAATGGTCTCGGCATCACATGTGAATCTAGTGCAGCTCCACGTTCACGTCGCTATAGGGCATCTCAGCTTTTCAGCGCGGGGAAGAAGATGAAGGGAAACCACGTGACATGTATAATATTACTGCCTCTTAAATTAACTAAAAGCTACAAAAATATTTTTGCAGTGGATTTTGGGATCAAACTTCAGCTTATGTGCCCAGTTCTGCAACTTACACTGTGAGGATGAAGACAGAACAAAAACAGCTCAGAGCTGGAAACTCAGTGAACAGCTTTTGCATGTTTGGACTTCCAGTTTAGCCACGGAACTTGTATGATTTCTCATACCTCTTGCTTTTCTTTAGGGAGCAAAGAGATGGTTCGGGTGATGAGGAAGAAGGGCATTGAACATCATCCCAATTTTCGGGCAGTAAAGCATGTCCCATTTGACCAGTTCATTCAGCTTGTGGCTCATGCTGGCTGTATGATTGGCAACAGCAGTTGTGGTGTCAGAGAGGTGGGAGCGTTTGGTACACCTGTCATCAACCTGGGGACACGTCAGACAGGAAGAGAAACAGGTACATGCTTGCTTAATGGCTTCCATTTTCTCATGGTTCTGAGTTTTTCTTCCACAGGGTAAAGTCAAATGAATGCTTGACAGAGGCCATTTTGTAGTACCAGTACAACCTAATTTTTGACCCATTTTAAAGCTTCCCTGGCTGCTTCTGTATCCTGTTAGCTTTGCTTGTGTGTTTTACATAAGATGAGGCTTTTATCTACAGACAAGTTAAAGTGTATCTCCATTTGCAGCGGACTCCATTTAGAAGAACAGGCAACTAATTGTTTTCCTTTATAGCTACTTTGATACTTGGCATGGATTAAAATTTCACTTTAAAAATATGAACTCTTCATGACTTCAGGAAGTAACTGTATTGTGGTATTTCACAGGTGTGCAGATACTGCACAAGTAGCCATTTACCCCATTTTCATTGCGCATCTTAGCCTTCAACAGAATGCTATTTTTAAGTTTAATATGCTAGTGTTTTGTAATGCATGGCAGTGTATCATAGGAGTCACCATTGCTTTCTTGGGAGGAAGAGGAGGCAAATAATTGATGAAGAGTGATGTCATTGTGGCTGGGGGCTTTCCTGCTTAGAGGAAACAAAAATAATTATTTCTTGATTTCTAAAGCAGCTCTTCCCCTCTCATGTAGTTTGAGGAGCTGATCTGTCCTGTTATGTTTAATTTTGTCATTGAGGTGAGAATGTTCTTCACGTTCGTGATGCTGATACACAGGATAAGATCCTGCATGCTCTACAGCTGCAGTTTGGTAAACAGTATCCATGGTAAGTACATTCATCTTGCTTCACTGGAGGGGATGTTAAAGCAGTAGAAGAAAAGGCATTTAGTTGTGAATTAGTCTGTTATATTTGGTTGCAGTGCTTTTAATGCACTAATCTGAGGTTACAAATTATTTTCCATTTCACATACCTCATTCAGAATCAAAGTGCAATGTCTGGTATGCAGATTAGTATTTGCAAAGCAAAATGTTGCTAATAATGTTTTGATATAACTAGTAATTTAACATCCAACAGAAAGTCAGGAGGACAAACTTCCTGTTAGCTTAGGCTAGCATGATTAAGAGAGCTTGTTCCATAGAAACAGCATGGGGAAGAACATCCTGTCTGTCTACCTCTGACTTTGTGCCTGAAGGACACACTGCTTTTTAGGTTGATTGACCTCAGGCATGATACTTAGAGAGTCCTGAGTGCAAGCTTCCAGGGAGCTGCAGGATTATAGGAAAATGTTTTTTGTGATTCAGCCATACAGTATTGACCATCAGTTCTCTAATATAAAAGGTTTTTAAAACTTCAGGAGATCATATTTGTCTAATTAAGGATAAGAATCAAAAGTATGTTTCTTAAGAACCTTAACAGAGTAATAAAACTGAATCCTCTAATACCAAATGTCCGACAACGTATTTGATATTTTGGAACCAGATTTAGATGTTGAAAACTGACATGAATGTACCATTTATTATTACTTAGCTGTCATCTGTGTTACAAGTACCTCTTGTCTAGGCGTGTCACACATACATAAACTTTCCATAATTTTAGAGCTTTATTATGTAGGTCCTTTCACTGAACTCTTACCCTTTTTTTTTTTTTTTTTTGCTTCATTAGCTTTCCAATTTTCTACATCCTGTGTTTTGTATTCCGAAATGGAGCTAATGCCAAACTTGCGTGATCTGTTGTGTGGTCTTCAAACTACTGCTACTATCTACTGTATTCCATGGCAGACTTGAGTAGTGTGAGCTGCAGTATCATTACAGTAGCCATATCATAATTTTGGAATGGCAGTGTTACAGCCTTTTGGAAAGAACCTTAGAGATTGCAGTGTTGTTTCCAATGAAATTGATTCTTTGTTTCATATTACAGCTCAAAAATATATGGAGATGGTAATGCTGTTCCAAGGATTTTGAAGTTCCTTAAATCTATTGACCTCAAGGAGCCATTGCAAAAGAAATTCTGTTTTCCTCCTGTCAAAGATAATATCTCTCAAGATATTGACCATATTCTAGAGACACAGAGTGCTCTGGCTGTGGATCTAGGTGGAACAAATCTCCGCGTAGCAATTGTCAGTATGAAGGTAAATATTCCGCTGTGCTTTTAGATATTCTGCAGACTCCATTGGGCTCTGTGGTTCTCTTCGTGCAGTGGGGATACAGATTTATTATGCAAAAGAGCTCCAAAACAAAACAGCCCTACCAGATTTTGCTCTTGAGGGGTAAAGTAGATTTTCCTTCATTTGTTGTACCTCTCATACAGTCTCGATACAAATTGCCTGCTGGTTTGTTCTTCTAAGATTGCTGTTAAGCTAGCCAAGCCTTTTGCTGATACATGGTCCTGTCTGCTCCCTCTCGGTGGGATGTCATGCAGACCTTGAAGGATACCACAACTTTCAAATGTGTTGATCCCTCATAAAAGGTGACCCAGTTCACCCTGCAACTCCTTATATGTCAAGCAAAAAAAAGGAAATGCTCCAAAAGCAGTCTTTTTACTTGTCTGCTGTCTAACAAAGCCAGGAAATTAACATACAGAACCATTTGGAGCAACAGCCAGCATCTAGCAAAGCAATTTACTGAGGGAGAGTGGTGGGTTCATGGTAAGTGGCTTCAGGATACAACATTCTGCATCTCTTACACCAAGAGAAGATCAGCCAGTAATTGAAAATTCTCAGTATCTTCCTGCATAGAAGCATAATCAGAAAGACAGTACTGAACCTCCGTGGGAATGATGTTCACTGTAATGCATCACACCACAGAGATGAAGACCAATTGTAGTGAGAACTAGGAAGAAAACTAAAAATAATTATTACACGTACAGAAAACAGGGAAAAGTTGAAGCAACTAGAATTGTTTAGTCTAGAGAAGAGGAAAGTGATAGGGGGAGGAAGAAAAAAAGCCTTCAGGTATGTAGAAGAGAGAATTCAGATTCACTTGTACATGTAACAAGGCAAGCATGCAACAAGGAGTAAAGTATTAAAACAGTGGAAGGGAATATTATTTTTTAATTTTTCTTACTATCTAACTTAGCTGTCAATGCAAGAGAAGGCTGGAATAGATATTCTCAAAGGTTATGTGTCTTCATTTCCAAAAAAAAGTAGGAACTGGTTTTAAAAAAGTCTCTTAAAAGCAGGTAAATTATAGTTTGTTGATCTTGCATTGGAAAAAGATGGTGAATTTGAGTCATACGATGATCTAAAATTCCTGGTTTGTTTGTTTGGGTTTTTAAAATTGTGTTTACTGTACCCTTGGATGCATGAAAAGAAGTTCATGATGGTTTAATACGATTATCAGAATGAGTAAAATTTGATACATACACTAGAATTCATAGAGACTTTAAAGGCTGTGTGAGTGTTGAGTCTCCAGTGCCTCTCTTCCTGCGAAAGTAACCCATGTGAAACAGGCTTGAAGTTACAGCCTGGTAAAGGCTGTATGGAGAGATGTTCACGTTTATGGTTACTGTGTGATTTAATGGTCTCCATGCGTAGAAGTGCCTCAACCCATCTCTGGGGTAATGCTTTCTTTGGGCAAGCTTTCTTTTGCCTGTGTCATGGCACTAAGAAGCATGCATTGCTTGCATGGCTCTGCCGCTCACAGAAAACATATTACAAATGTTTGACAGCTGACTTTGAAAGATGAAAGTTGGTGCTTGGGAAACAACAAAACCTGAAGTTCGGTCACAGCATGTGAGGCTACCAAAATGGCATCACCATCAGTGTGGTGCTAGGTCACTTGCAAAGGCATCTTTGTAATGAAACAGCTAAATACACCTATGACCATCAGCTGACTACCCAGATCAATGCCTTATGACTGGCTGAGGGACCTGGGGTTGTTTAGCCTGGAGGAGACTGAGAGGAGACTGAGAGGAGACCTTATTGCTCTCTACAACTACCTAAAAGGAGGTTGTAGTGAGGCTGGTGTTGGTCTCTTCTCCCAGATTACTGATGAAATGTAAGTTGCTTGCAGAAAGATGAAGGGCTGTGTAAACTGACCTGATACAGTCCAGAAGTTTTGCATTCATTTAAAAGGAGTTGTCTGGCAGATTTTTAAGGTCTTAAACGGAACTTTTTAATGTATGATTTTTTATTTTTTTTTTTTTTTTTTAGAATTAAAACTCACACCATATTTTTTTGCCAACACATGTCCGGAAAAAAAGAATTGAAAAAAATGCTGTCTATTTTGCAGTGTTCTTATGAAACTTGAAATGTTAGCAAATGAGAGTGAAAAGGGTCAGACTTTGAAAATGAAATTTCCACAACAGATAGAAGCATTGACAGGAAATGGTGAAGTCAAAGGAGTAGTTTTCTTTTCGTGAAGAAAATAACTGAGCTTTCAAAAGCCATTATGTCTTCTGATGTTTGCTGCAGCCTTGTCTTCCAAAATAATTTCCTCTGATTCCCCTCCACCTCCAAAACAAAAGCGAAAAGGAAACTAAACATTAAAATCCCCAAACTCTATTGCTGATGTGATGCTGAGGTGGTGTGATCTAATATTCAAACCACAGATGTCTTGGAATTTTCTAAGTTACTTTGGCAACGAAATCACCATGTTGCGTGTAGACTGAATTTGTTATTCCTGTCTGCTTGGTTGTGTTAATACAATTCTGCTCACAAAGTTGTAGAGTATTTGGGTATAATAGGGAGATTAACATTGCCAACCACTGTAACTCACAGTTTCCTTGTCTAATCCAGCAATATTAACATTATGTTAAGATTAGCTTCTTGGTGCTCACAGATTCAGGCACACATAATGAATGCTTTCATTTACCATTGCATGACTCCTAGAGTTGAAAATAACCCCTTCCTCCTGAATCCTTCCTCCCCCATACAACATACACTGCACTAGACGGTACTCCAGAAATGTTGCAAGTGACTTCAGAGGTATAATTGCTTAGAAGAAAAGTTATTTCTGAAAGGATAGTAAATTTTTAATTGAAATTTCTAGCATTTCTCTCCGTCCGACTCTCCTCCTGCCCATTAAATAGCAGTGTCTGTGACACCATGCAAAACTTCCATATATTCAAACTGGATTTTTTTTTAGGCATTGTGGGCTCCCTGACCTTTTTAGCCACTTGCTATTCTCTTACTTTTTGTTAACACTTTGGTATTGAGTTTAAGTGCATTGCTGTATAATGTTGCTGTTGTTTATCCCTAACAAGAGTTCCAGTAGCTCCTGTGATTTTTCCTTATACAATCCATGTGTTCCTTAAAATTTGTATTTTATTTCAGACAGGGAGGTTAATTATAGAAGCAGAATGTAATGCCTAATGTTGCCAAGTTGTCCCACAGAGTTGTCAGGAAGCTTGCACAGAGCAGCCTGTAGGATGAAGAGCTAAGGCTTCCATCTGTTTGTTGCATTGTTTGTTTTTTTTTTTTTTAAGAGCAAAGTTATAACTACATTTTCAGGCTGACCTGTAGTTTAAGAGCTATTTCATCATGAAGTACAATTCTGTGGGGCATGTTTTGTTGTTTTTAATTTCTAGGGTGAAATAGTTAAGAGATATACCCAGCTCAACCCTAAAACTTACGAAGACAGACTAGAATTAATCCTAAAGATGTGCATAGAGGCTGCATCAGAGGCAGTAAATGTGAACTGCAGAATTTTGGGAGTAGGTAAGTTAACAAATACTAACTCTTGTCTTTTCATCAGATTTTTCAACATGAAATTACTACTAATTCGTTTAAAACACCTTTTTAAAACAGATCTTATGTATTTTAAGCTCTTAAATTTTATTACCACAAAAACTGTTTAAATTTCTGTGAAAATGAGCGACTGAATGTAAAGACTGAAATTGCCCCAGTCTGTCATAGCCCCAAAAGCAGTTTGCTAAGTTCTATCTAAACTATATCTAAAATGCATGGTATTTAGATTTTGTGGACTTTTGGAGCCCCCTGCAGTCTCAGAATTGTGAATCAGGTGCTTAGTGTATATTGAAACAACTGTAGCTGAGTTAGGCTTGCAGGAAACTTTCCTTTATGGCCAGGATCAGCTGTGCAGCAGAATTTTCAGACTAAAAAGCCTAAAACGTTAGGTTCAGTTTGTAGCTAACAGAGACAAAAGCAGTCTTTTTGTTGATTTCCATTCTACTTACACTGTGGTAGAGTTCCAAGTTAAACTGTGTGTTTATAGCAGACAGGAGTTCTTCAGTTTAATGACTGAGAGCTTTGGTCATGGTTATTACAGTTATTGATGAAGGCGCAGGTTATTGTGTTCTGGCTTTTTAAGAAGGACATGAAATCTTAACCAAACAAATTATTTTATTATGTCCAAATGCTAAATCTTGAAAACCTCATAGTTCATTTAGAAAAGGCAGCAAATTGCAGTGGTCACTATTGCAAGTGTCTAAGAACAGTTTACAGTCAGCTACATTTATTGGGATAATGAACCTATAAACTTGTTTACAGAGTTTTATATATGGGGGAAAAAACTTGCCTTTTGTCTGTCATTTTACAAGAATTACATTCTTATTTATTCTTCAGACCCCTTTGTTCTGTGACTGCTTACTGTTCAACTCCTGAGTAATGAGGGAAAAGTTGTGCTACAGACTAGGAAATTTCTTCCCTCACTGTTTGTTAGCCACTCTTTGCCTAATTCAGACTCATGATTTGAATCAGAATACTATCTGAAAGTTTTCTGTAGAGAATGGCATATAATTCCTATGGGAGTAATTAATGTATTAGATTCTAGTAATTTCCTTAAGGCTAATAAGGTGGAGAGTTCCTATATCTTTGGAGAAATTTTTGCAAGGCTGCGCAGAGGGGCTGGGCTTAATTCTGGGCTTTTCATCAGCAACACTAGCCTTCTTCCAGCTGCCATAGGTAAGGCTTAAAGTAATAACCATTGGAAACTAGTAAGGAGAAAGAGCTATTTTCAGAAAGCAATGAAAAAAAAAGTGGTTTCCTCCTTTTAGCCCTGTCAGCTGCTGTCAGCACTCAAAAGACTAGCTACATGAGCATAACTTGGGTTGAAGAACTCCCACTAATACAAGACAGGTTTGCAAAGTGATTAAGAAGCAGGACATTGGGGGGAAAAAAAAAACAGTTTTCAACATCTTTTTCTCTTGGTGATAAAACAACTTGCAACAGCTCTGTAGTTAGTTTCAACATTATTTTTGTTGATTTTTTCACTCAAAATAAAGCATTTATATTAAAAACAGCTTTATGAAAATGGAGGAAAAGTAAAGTCTATCAGGCCCAAAGAACACTAGCAGTTGTTACCTTTTTTTTAACTTTTACAAAACACAGATTTTAAACCAAAGGCAGACCTGTATCTATACACAAATATTGCACAGAGGTGGTTGTGAGAGCTATCAAGTATTTAAGTTATCTTTCTGGAGCTGACAATAAAGAGGATGAAGAAATAGCTTCTGCTATACATTAGTTACAGAAATATGGCATTGAGAAAAACTACACATGCTTTACTAAGCTTTTGCTGAGTGAGCAAATAAATATTAAATAAGGTTTTGTGGTAATAAACATTTGGTTTTTAAAATCCTAGGGAGACCTTCACAGATTGACATTAGGAATGTAATTTCCATTAGGTACATGCTGACAGGCTCTCAGATGATTGGTTCTTTACAAAGTCAGATTTCAGGGGGGGTCTTACAGCTTTAATGTTCAATTCAGCTGCTTGTCTTGTGGCTACTGTGGCTGCTTTTCATTATAATGTTAACCCTGGGACTCTTTTTTTCTGATCCTCTTCAGATAAGAGACACAATTATATAATCTCTGTATAAAAAAATAGACAGACTTTGTTGTCTAATATGTCTAAATACCTTCATAATAGAGTAGCCTATGTCTTCAGAAGTCATGACAGAGTCTATCAACTTTGGAAGGCTCCTCTCCAGATAGAGAAGACTCCTTTGGCTGATAGTGCCTAATATGCACCATTATTGTGTTCAGTAGACAAATCTCTGAACATGGTCTTCATTTTTCTGGAAAACAGTGTATTTTTAAGTAGAAACCACTACTCAAAGTTGCCCGATTATTTTAAGTCATTCGAAATTTTGTGAGTTACAGAAAATTTCAGGATACTTCTACTATTCCAGGGTTTGAACAATTTATTTTGGTGTTTGCTATTGTGTATCTTTCATACCTGACAAAAAGGAACACAGTTATCGAGTGATTCCCTGCAATCTTGCCTGAAGTAAGAATGTTAACTCTCTGAATAACACCGACCACTACCCATCCAGTTAGTCCTCAGACACTGGGTGCGTTGTCATGAGAGCAAGAGTTCCATGAATTACCTTCACACATCAGAAACTGCACTGCTAGTGATACTTAGAAATTTTTACTTTCATGCTTCTCTTCAAACCCTAGTATTAGAAATAAAAATACTTGTCACTGCAAAGAGAAAAACAGATCTTTTACATAAAGTATGACACAGGCTTAGTTTTGATATTTCCTTCCTGTTTTTCTGGGACTCAGGTATTTCCACAGGTGGACGGGTAAACCCCCGAGAAGGAATTGTGCTTCACTCTACAAAACTCATTCAGGAGTGGAGCTCTGTGGATCTCAGAACACCAATATCTGATGCTCTGCACCTGCCAGTCTGGGTGGACAATGATGGGAACTGTGCTGCTCTAGCAGAGAGGAAATTTGGTCATGGAAAAGGAATAGAAAATTTTGTAACACTCATTACGGGTACAGGTGGGTATCATATAGTTCAGTGAACCTCAAAGTCAAAATAACAGCACCATCGCTTGAAGGCTCAGCTGGTCTAAAGAGCATAAACACCACCAGTGTGCCTGGGAATACCTGAACATATTGTGTTCTTAAACCAGAAGTTCTTTTGCCTCTGTATTTGTTTCTTTTAGGGTACCTTTTAATTTATCCAGGCAAAAGAAAATTTGCATAGTGTAAGCATCTTGATAAAATAAGTTATGCTGATACAGCTATGCAGGCAAACAGTGTTTTCCAAAATAAGGAAAATTTGAGCAACTTTACCTGGAATAATTTTGATTTTTTCAGCTTTATAGATTAATTCTCTTCCAGCTGCAGAAATACAAGTCAGATCAGGATATGTATCTAGAAGATAAGAAACTAAATAGCGGAGATGATGGTTATTATGTCTCAAATGAAAGTATGAGTTAACTTTTCTCATTTGTTAAGCACATAGTCCTTTAGAAAGGTGGCAATAGTAACTAGCTGACACCCATCCACCCTCCTACCCCCGGGTTTGGGAAGGGGAAGGAGAGGATTGCAGATTTAAGTGTCCTGGCTCTTCAGCACACAGGTTTAGGTTTGTTTTGTTTTGGGTTTTTTTTTCCCTTTGTAAGCATAGATGGTTTTCTGTCTTTGCAGGAATTGGAGGTGGAATTGTTCATCAACACGAATTGATCCATGGCAGCTCTTTCTGTGCTGCTGAGCTTGGGCATATTGTTGTATCTTTAGATGGACCAGAATGCCTGTGTGGTAGCCAAGGATGTATAGAAGCCTATGCCTCTGGAACAGCTTTACAGAGAGAAGCTAAGAAACTGCACGATGGTATCTATGTACTTTATTTTGGAAAACATAATTACTAAATTGCAGTATAAGAAGAAATTTGCAAAGACTATATTAAGAAAAATAGACCTGCCATCTTTTTCTAGGAGGAAACAAGAATAGGTGTACAGCCAACCAGACATGATTCCTGTCTATGGCCAACCCAGGAGCTGCCAAAACCTGTGTAGCACAACACAATTCTGTTTCACTGATGGCAAGCTACATTTGGAACCGCTGGTCTCAAAATTACCAGAAGCATGTTTAGTCCCTCTTTAAGGGTGTTGTAAAGTAATCTGACAGGTATTCTGTAAGGTTTGGTTTCACAGTGATTGTCTTTCAGCAGTAGTTTCTCAGGCTTAGATGAGTTTGAGAAGCTATGATTTTGTGCACTTGGGTCCCAACAACCCCAGGCAATGCTCCAGGCTTGGGGAGGAGTGGCTGGAAAGCTGCCTGGTGGAAAAGGACCTGGGAGTGCTGGGGTACAGTCAACTGAACATGAGCCAGCAGTGTGCCCAGGTGGCCAAGAAGGCCAATGGCATCCTGGCCTGGATCAGAAATGGTGTGACCAGCAGGAGCAGGGAGGTGATCATGCCCCTGGACTCGGCACTTGTGGGACCACACCTTGAACACTGTGTCCAGTTTGGGGAACCACAGGATAAGAAGGACATGGAGGCGCTGCACCATGTCTAGAGAAGGGCAGTGAGGCTGGTGAGAGGGCTGGAAAACATGCCTTAGGAAGACCTGCTGAGGGAACTGGGGTTGTTTAGTCTGCAGAAGAGGAGACCTTATTGCTCTCTACAGCTACCTAAAAGGAGATTGTAGTGAGGCAGGTGTTGGTCTCTACTCCCAAATTACTGATACTAGGTTGAGAGGAAATGGCCTCAAGTTGCACTAGAGGAGTTTTCAATTGGATATTAGGAAGAATTACTTCACCGAGAGAGTGGCTAGAACACTGGAACATGCTGCCCAGTGAGGTGGTGGAGTCACCATCCCTGGAGGTGTTCAAAAAATTAGTAGATGTATCACTTGAGGCTGTGCTCTAGTGGTTAAGGAAATGTTGGGATGGTGGTTGGACTTGATGATCCTAGAGGTCCTTTCCAACCATAGTGATTCCATGATTTGTATTTTACTTTATTAACATCTGGGGCTGACAAAAATTGCCATACTATAACTGAGCTTGATGCCCTACTTCTCCGAGTAGTTCTAAATAATGTGGGTATGATTGCTTTGGCCAAATTCTGGATTGGACAGATTGCTCCGAATTCAGGTGTCTGTGTGCAGTAAGAGACGTAAAGATCTCACCCTCTGTTTCTTAACTTACCACATCACCATGTTTTTCTCTTGGCTTTCTCTCCTCTTCAAACAGAGGATCTGCTGTTAGTAGAGGGAATGTCAATGAAGGAGGAGGAGATTGTTAGTGCTGCACATCTCATTCAAGCAGCTAAACTTGGGAACACAAAAGCAGAGAGCATTCTCAGAACAGGTAAGAACATGGCCCTTCGGGTGGAACCTTCCTGTGGCTATAGTGAAACTATAAACTACAAACACAACTCTGTACACTGAGGACCTTTCTATGTAGAATTACTAATGGTAATGGAATGTTAAATGTTGGAGGAAATGTCAGCAGAAGTGTCTCTTGAAAGACTGTTCCAATACATGAGAAGATTAAAAGGTTTGGTGATGTTAAGCTTAAAGAAGTGATGTTTCAACATTCTTACACTGGACAGTTTGGGAGCATTTCTTTGTAGGCAAGGGAGTGGCTAGTGTGAGGAAGCAAAGGCAATTTACATATTACTTCACATGGGATATTTTACTGGTTTACTAGTTTTAAACACAGTCCTCTTGCTCATCCATAGCCAATAGCATTAAGATAGTAGAGTAATGCTTTCCTGTTTTCTCTTAGCTTACAAGTGTGGTAATGCATTTTGCCTTTCACGTCTATATAATTGGATAATGCAGTACTGTGCAGTAAAATAGCCTTTATGTGTTTTACTTGGAAAGAAAAATTGAAGGCAAACTCATACTTTGTGATAACAAACTGGAAACTGTCTGACATGCAGAAGAGAACACTTACCTGACAGTGTCCTTTGCTGCTAACAGATCTGTTTCAACTGCTGATGTCTGGACTGCTTTGTATATTCTCCTTAATGTCTTTTTACTTTATCTTTTCAGCTGGGACAGCATTAGGTCTGGGAGTTGTGAACATTCTGCACACGGTGAACCCCTCTCTTGTAATCCTCTCTGGAGTCCTAGCCAGCCACTACGTTAATGCTGTCAAAGATGTGATAAATCGCCAGGCCCTGTCCTCTGTCAAAACTGTGGATGTGGTGGTCTCAAACCTAGCAGATCCTGCTCTTCTTGGTGCTGCCAGCTTGGTACTGGACTATACCACACGTAGAATATACTAGTTACCTGGAAGAATTTATAGAAATGGACTGCTCAAATTCTTAATGGGTGATGGGGATAATTGCCAAAAATTTTTCTTTTGTGAGAGCAGCTATTGAGAGTAGTGTTCTGAGTAGTCAGTGATTACTTGAGCATTTCCTAACTGAGGTATCGTCTTTTTGTATTTTTCCTAAATTTCATCTGACTTTGTAGGAATTAATGTGCAATTCTGTTGGTTTTAATCATCTCCGTTGGTAAGCCTGTATGTTGCTTTAACTGTAGCTAAATTATTTATGAGTGTGTCTTGATGTATGTGGGGAATTGCGTATGGTGTGTCAAATTATAGCTAACACTTGAGGGTCCATATCTCATTTCCTACCTGTGTAAAATGAGAAGTCTGCCCTGTGACCAGCTTTTTAGTTTCCGAGCTTCCACCTGCAAAGTAAATGTGATATAATCACCAGCAGCAGGGAGTAATTTCAGTGGGTGGAAATGAGGGAAGTCGCCTTTGCAGTCAGAAGGGCTGCATCTAGCAGTCATGGTACCTGAAGGACTCGGTGGACAGTTATCGATTACCTCCCCTTTAGAGGGCGGAGCCCCAATTCAGAAGCTCTTTTCCACTGCACAGTGGTGCACAGTGCATCTCCTCATGAGTTCTGGTGGCTGCAGCTACACTGTTCTTGTCCTCCATTTGCCATCAGCTCGCAGGAGGGCAAGTCAGATCTGAGCCTTATCCTCACCATCAAGACATTCAGAGGCCCAGGAGCAAAGTATGTCGAATACCACTGAAGGCTTGCCTGACCGTGGTTCACATCCCTTCAGCTAGTCCTTGATACATAGCCTGCAGTCTTCATCCAGCTGCTTTGTAACACACGTTCACAGTACTGTAGTAGTAACTGTTGGACACAAGGAGAAACTGAAAACCAGATCCATCTAGCCAGCTGATCAGCTACCCCAGAAGGAACGTGCCTGTGAAGAAGTCACAAGACCATCCTTTGCCTGCATTTAACGGTCTGTTTTGACACCTAATTCAGGCACTGATGATATCCTCAGAAGCCCAGTACTGTACTAGTACAGGGGAGCAAGAGGGGCTATTTCCATACAATTCTTCTCCAACCAAAACGAAACAACCTTCTGCAACCCCTGCCCTCTGCTGTACAGTGATCTTGGACCAAAGGGCTGTTAGTATAGTGAACTACTCTACTGGCTAGATCTGGGATATAAGCTACACAAATGGCCTTCACCTCTTCATCTCTTGTACAAGGAATGCTTGTTGAGAACTCACGTCTTCAAAGCAGGATTTAGAAACACCACCAGATCTCCATCTTGATGCTTCCAGGAATAATTGTGCAGCCTCTATACCATAGTTTTTCTCAGAATCCCCAAATATTGGCCCAACCATTTGCAAAGCAGGTTTTATATCATGGGGTTTCTTAGTTCCTTTTCCTGGGGGTCTTGGTTTACTTTGTGAATCCCATTAACTTTAATAGCAGAGCAGAAGCTCCATAAGCAGGTCAAGGAGAAATAAGCTTTGCTCTCTGATGGTAGTAGCTCAGGTGAGCAGTAACAGTACCGAGATCCTACCAGAGAGGAGCCCTGTCATTCTATCTTTCCATTCTCTAGCATCACAAGGAATACCAGACTAAAAGTCGGACCACGATTTTGCTCTCCAGACCTCCCGAAGTTCTGTATTTTTGGTATCACGGACTCCAGATATGTTTTTCCCTAGAAGCTGAAGCCAGGGTGCAGGCATAGACAAAACATAAAATGCTAAACAACACTTCTATCATCTAGTCCTCTTAAGAAAATAGTTCATATGCTTTTCAAAATGTTTTGCTGGGTTTTCTTCTGTCAACTGGACAAGAACCTGCTGAATATGTGCAAATGGTGCAGAAGTCCTTGCAGTTTTCCCTGAGAAGTTTTTGGGTTTATAAAATCAGAATGATTTTTTTGAAAATCGTATTTAATAGCATAGTTGTGATTTTATTTTTTGCTTCTTCATCTGTTCAGAAAACTCCTTTGCACTTCAGACAATTTATTGTGTACCAGAGGTTGTACGGACATCAGCTCCCAATTGTGTCTGGTCTCAGGGGCATCAAACATCAGCAGAGTACTGCGGATGTCCTGTGAACATCTATCTTGTTACTTGATGTAACTCTATGTCTTTTAGAGCAGCCCATACCACAGAAGTCCTGGGCTCCAGTGCAGGCAAACCAGCCTTTTGTATCTGTCACTGGGAGGGAAGAAGGGGAGCAAAACCACAAAACAAAATGTGAACTCTCTTTCTGCAGCTACTATCAGCATTTCAGAGCCTCAGGGAGGAGTGCATTCTTGTTGCCTGCACTGGCAGCATGTGCTAATTATACCCTGCTCTAGGAGGAGGTTTGTTTTTGCAGTGTCCTTGATAAGTGAATGGAGTATCTCGACTACTGAAGCCTGAAGTAAAAATGCCACTGCCCAGCCATCTAAACAGAATTTCATATGACACTGAAGAGCGTGGGCAGGAGGAAACTCCTCATGGACATGTCAAGTTTGTATCACAAAACCACAGCACAGGCAGTAAGGTGCAGACAAGAGTTCAATACTCTGATTTAATCTGCATCAGTGAGATCTGATGGCTCTGTCCCTTGCAAATGCTATGGAGAGTTCAGAGGCATTAGCAAGGGTAAAATACCTTGACTGTACACTTCTTGGACCATTCCAGATAACTGTGTTCAGAAAATGTTTTATCAAATGCACATCAGAACTAGTGCTTTGGCAGCTGGAGTGTAGGCTCTAAAGCCATGTATTTGGTATGGTTGTTTTAGTCTGGCACCAGGCTACATTTGCCTCATCATCTGAAAGCAGATGCCTTGCACCGTGGGCACACAATGTATTTTTGTAACAACTAAAAAGGCTCATGAGATTCTGAAGACAACACAGGAAGTAAAATTCTTCTTAAGCCTTGATTAAGGCAGTGGGAAGACGGGTAATACAGTCAGTTCTTTCTGTTTGTCATAATTGAGGAAAATGCTTTTGGTTCACAACTTGCCTTCAGACCTCACAAATATCAGCTGTATCCTTAACAAATCACAAATTTGTGCAAGCTGGAGGAAGCTTTGCATGCTTAGAAGTACATATTTTTCTCCGTTAGTCTAAAAAAATAGCATCTCCACACAACTTCTGCCTTGCTTGTACTATCAGACCACCATTGCTGTAACTGTATCTGCAGGTGTTCCAAATACTAGGCCTTCCAGCTTTTTTTTGTACGAAGCACATTACACAAATTTTAAATGCAGATGAAATGCCAAATTTTTGCCTAATTAAACAGGAAATAGATGAAGTCCTGGGCTGAATCAAAAGCAGTGTGGTCAGCAAGTCTAGGGAGGTGATCCTGCCCCTCTGCTTTGCCCTGGTGAGACCTCACCTGCAAGTCCTGTGTCCAGCTCTGGAGCCCCCAGCACAAGAAGGACGTGGAGCTGCCAGAGAAGGTACAGAGGAGAGCCACAGAAATGATGGAACAGCTCTCCTGTGAGGAAATGCTGAGAGCTGGGGTTGTTCAGCCTGGAGGAGAGAAGGCCCTGCAGAGTCTTGCAGCCTTTCAGTACTTAAGGAGGGCCTGTTAGAAAGATTGAGCGTAGTCTTTTTAGCAGGGCCTGTCATGACAGGACAAGGGGTAATGGTTTTAAACTAGAAGAGAGTAGATTCAGACTAGATAGAAGGAAGAAATTTTACAGTGAGGGTGGTGAAACCCTGGCACAAGTTGCTCAGAGAGGTGCTAGATGTCACATGCCTGGAAACATTCCAGATCAGGTTGAGGGCTCTGAGCAAACACCGCTAATGGAAGATGTCCCTGCTCACTGCAGGGGGTTTGGAATAGATAATCTTTAAAGGTCCTTTCCAACCCAAACCATTCTATTCTATTCAGTAAAATTTTGAACATCCTGGGTTTTTTTCGCAAAGGTTCCTTTATTTTTAATTTCACAACCCCCTGATAATAATGGATACAGCACTTTTTTACCTCACCCATACTTCATGCATCAAACTGGGTAGAAGGTCTGCACCAGCTGTGACCAGTAAGCAGGCACATGAAGGAGGAGAGTGGGTGTTTGTAGCTGTAGGCACAGGCACTTGCAAGGCTGTACATAACTGTAGTGAAATGTGCATTACTGGAGCAAGATGTAATGAAACACT